CAAAGTCTCCAAATAAGCCAAAAAAGGTGAAAGCAACGATTCAGCATTGTCTTCTAGGTTGCAACAAGTATAGTTTAATTGATGATATATCGGGAGGTTGGATATCCTCCAAGCAGCCAAAATACGTGACCAAGTGAAGAGGACGTGATGAATTGTCTCCCTAACTTGGCAGCATCGTTGAGCAACATGGGGTCAATGGGGTACGTATTCCTATAGAACTTCTTTTTGTGCAGTATCATGTCAAGAAACTGTCGGCATTTATCAGCAAAGATAATGCAAATGCAATGAACCGAAATCGAAGACCAATTCTAAGCCTATCAACTAATAGTTGAATTTCTATTACTATATACTATATACTATATTGTATTGTGATGTGCTGTGCATGATATATATTTCTCTAATACTCGAATCTCACACGTGACAACGACCTTTACGTGTATGTACGTGTTGAATATAATTAAGATACGTTATATAAACTTCTCTTATCTCGTACATATTCAACATGTGGATGAAGACCTTCGTATTAATATTTTTTTTCTTTTATGATACAAGGTATAAATACGAAGAAGATATCTATACTATCTATCAGTGCCAAAAATAAAAGTTTTTCAATATATGCAAATATACAATCCAATTTCTCCGGTGAAAACCATGGTGAAGATTTATCCTCACCTGGCGTTTCCGGTGGATATTGGTGTTGTAGAAGACAAGATTGTGCCCTACTTGACGAAGGAGCAAGAGAGTTTCACGATTTGGATGAAATCTTTGGTATTCCATAGCAAAGGCTGCACAGTTTTTGATTCCAAAGGAAACTTAATCTATCGAGTGGATAACTATAACTCCAAGAGTTGCAGTAATGAAGTTTATTTTATGGATTCATACGGGAAAATTTTGTTTACTTTACGTCAAAAGGTAATAAGAAACATTTCATCAATGCTTTTTCTAAGAATTATAAGTTTTTTTATTTTATTTTACTTTGTGAGTAACTTTTTGTTATGTGTATATAGAAATCGGGATTCTTCAAATCTTGGGAAGGATATAACTCAACCGGGACCAGATTTCGACTAAGTAAGATTTTCAAGATTTTGCCAAGAGATTCATCTTACAAAGTTGTAATGGGATCGCGCATAGTTGATGGTGGTAATCAACAGTCTTGTTATAAGATTGTAAACCGCAGATCCGTTTTCGCAATCAAGGATGGATCGGGAAGATTAATGGCAGAAGTTAAAAATAAACTATCGGATATTAGTGGTTTGGATCTTGGAGAAGATGTCTTGACAATGATGGTGGAGCCACAACTAGATCATTCTATAATAATGGGTATTGTTATAGCTTATAGTCTTACCAAATGTAAATTGTGATAAGTATTTGGTGAGATTGTAACTTTAATCAGGTGAATCTTAAAGGTAAGCATGTTTTAAAGCTAATTAAATGTTGGCATAAGCCCCAAATCTCTCGCTTGAAGTTGGATTTTGATGATTCCACCAAAATGCATGTGGAGAAGCTCGGCATCGTATATCCTCGATAAACATCAGAACAACAAACCTAATTCTCTTACTCATTTAATCCATTCTTCCCCCTCAAACTTCTTCTTCCATGGTGGATGAAAACCAGAATCCTAACCCTATTTTAGCTAGCTTATTACCAAACTTGAGCGCCACACCATGGAAAAGTGACCAGCGAGTGGTTGGAACATGCTCAAGCCGCCATTCATCGCTATCATGATCATTATTTGAATACGAATGTATATGTTAATAATTGTAGTGCCAATTCCACAACGTAAATCAGTTGTTTTGAAATTACTATTAGCGTCGTTTTTTTTTTAATTTGTTTTTTTAGCATCGTGTTTATGTTGACAATATCTTTTAACTAGCTGAGTTAACCATACTTGGATTATTAAACTATCGGATATATCAAACTGAATTAAATAGATTTGGATGGTAATTTAGTGAGCAGCAAGAACTGCCCTGGAACTGGTGTGATGAAGATAATAGACTAATAGTAAAGTGGTCATGGACTCTTGGGAGAAGTACGAATGCATGAAAAGATAGCAGAGATGATGATAATCATCATACGATTTTATTAAGGCCCATGGGCTATAAAATATTGTAAAGGTCAATCCATAGTGTGTTATCTCATATTTTCTCTGTGTAAGTGGTTCATATTTTCTGCCTTTACAAATTAACGAAAATTATCTAAGTTTTTTTTTTAAATTTCTTGAAATAGCCTTACAAAATTAATTTTTTTCATATTTTCTGATTTTTTTTTTTTTTTCAGGAGTTTCAGAAAAAAACCTAGTTTTCTCTCTACCTCTCCGCCGCCGAGACCAAGTCTAGATCTAGATCCCGCTTTGCCTCTCCGACGACCGGCTCCGGCCGGCGTCGCGAGAGGGCTTCTTCCCTTTCTTTCCTTTTTCGTTTCCTTCTTGTCTTTGTGTAGATTTCGTAGGCGTCTTCATTCCCCTGTCTCCGGCGGCGATACGGAGGGCTTCAACGGCAGCGACGAGTTGGTGCGGTGAAAGACATCACTGAAAGAGATCTCGGCTCTCCTTCGTTGTGGGACTGGTGATGGTTCGAAGCTCCCTGGTGTCGAATCTGGGGAGCCAACCGAGCCTCTCCGCTTCCTTTGTTCTTCCCGCCAGAATCCTGAGCCGGTCCGAGTACAGTGGGTGAGGCGAGTAGTAGGGTCTAACGGAGGTTGGGGAAGGCGTCGTGGTGCCGGTAGCCGAGATTTGAGACTCCTCTCAAAGTCGGGTTCCCGACAGCTCCCTCCAATTCTCTGGTTTCAGTCCGACCAAGAAGCAAGACAACGAGGCATACGCGATGCGGCTTATCCGGAAATGCACCGTGCGGTGAAGGTATACTAATCTGTGCCCCACTCTAATCCTTATGCGATTAGTATTACGAGAATTGCTTAGTATCTCGGAGAAGTCCATGGTTTGCTGGTGTGTTTAGCGTCTCTTTGTCGGTTCAGTTGGTCCGTTTTTGGTTTTAAGACCGGAACGACGAAACATGGAGAACCAATTCTTCCTGAAAATGCGCCTCATGGTGATGATGCTATTGGGACAAGCACTACATTCTGATCTTAAGGGACTAATAGTTGGGTCTATTTTGTAATTCAGATTAGAGTTGGGTATTCTCCGTGTCAGTAATTGTTCTCGTGTCATTAGAGTCTTTTTAGGTGGTTTAAGAGATGATTCTACACCGTGTTGTGGTGTGTTTCATCTCGCAGTGGTTGAAAAATACAATGATTTGCGTCGGGTAGCGTTGAATCCGCTAGTGTTTCAGGATGATACTAGACTGAATCATTGTATTGGGGTGAATTTATCGTGGTTAAACGATGTGTATCTTGACTTGGATAATGAAAAGTTGATGTTGAGCCAAAAAAAAAAATTGATTTTTTTCATCTCCTAATCGATCCTTACCCAAATTAATGAAAATTTGGAGAGTAAGCTTTTTCTTTTTTTGACGTCTAGATTTATTATTTATTGCAAATTATGAGAACTGTTACCTAGACGATTCTACAACGGACAATTCCTTCCGACCCTTATTAGATCCACGACAGATGACACTTCCTTCTTCATGCTCTTGACGGACACCTTCAATGATCCACGACCTGATGACACTTCTTTCTCTGCGTAGAATCCTGGCGAACGGCTATAATTGTACTTCGCTGAAGATCTCCGGCACACTTGCCTCCTTTAATCTGCAAATTTATTAATAAATCGCAATATCTGGGACTCGAACCCCAGACCTCTTGGTGTAGAAACATTAATTAACTCTTGGTCAACCAATGAGATAAGGGGGCTTCCACGGAGAGTAAGCTTAGCTATTAAATTTTTTTGAAACCATTATACTACCTAATATTTTCGTCATGTATTTTGTAGGAAAAAATGGGATAAATGTTTTTTTACTATCCAAATTATCCATTTTTGATTTTTATCTGTTATTTTCATCCGATATCTAAAATAAACACATTTAATTTAAATACACCAACCAATAATTTTCTAGCTCTGTTTTAATTTTCAAACACATTAAAAAATGGTGAAATTTTAACGTATGAGACAAATTTAAATTAAATGCTAGTTTATAGGAAAAAAATGATATCAAATTAATTTGCAAATACGTGATAGAGAAAACTCACAATTTTTGCAGATATTAAATCATTCCGATAAACTGTCAGCATTGGATATCATCAATGGTCATTCTATGGATGCTACTATCTCTGGTTTATGCCAAGATATTCAATAGTGGGCAACTTATTAATTGTAATGAAGTAGTTCATAGTTTAGCAAAGCAAAGTTATATTTCATCTTCCTTCTTTTCTGGTTATATGGTTCCTCCTATATGGATATCCGAACTCTTGTATCTAGATCGAGTTTTGTCTTAATAAAAAGTTATTTGCCGAAGAAAAAAAGGACAAAGAAGAGATCCATATGCAATGGACAAGACCTGATGACCAATTTTAAGCCTTTCAACTAATAATTGAAATTATCTTATTATATTGTATGTGCATTTTTCTTTAAATATGTTTTTCTCTATTATTCGGATCTCACAATCATATTATACACGAAAAAACAATAATAATAATCATATTATACACATTACATTATAAAATATGTTTGTCAAAACGTTACAAAACAAATTACAAATAAAACATGCTTACCTATAAGAAAAAAAGACCACAATTTTTGCAAATACAAACAACCAATTTACAGTTCATCTACTTGTCAAAACATTCTTTTGTGCAGTATCATTCCGATAAACTGTCAGCATTGGACAACGCAGAGAACACAAATGGAATGGACCACAACTGAAGACCGATTCTAAGCCTAGCAACTAATAATTGAAATTATCTTATTATATTGTATGAGCATTTTTATTTATACTTTTTCTCTATTATTCGAATCTCACAATCACATTGGTCACGTTACAACGACCATACATGTATTAACAAACAAAAAGGACCATACATTTTTTTTGTTTAACAAAAAGGACCATACATGTTACCGCTACATGATTTTCTCTGTTATTTTTATTTTGTATCTCACATTGAACATGTGGATGAAGACCTTCGTATATATATTTTCTAATGATACCCCAGAAACTGAATTACTACTACAAGTAGAAAGTATAAATGCGAAGAAGACATATAACTATCATTCAGTACCAAACATAAAAATTTTCACTATATGCAAATATATAGCAACAACCGAACGATTATTCGGATTTCTCCGGCGAAGAACATGGTGAAGATTCATCCTGACAAGGTGTTTACGGTGGATTCTAGCGCGGGAGAAGACAAGATTTCGCCATACTTAACGACGGGGAAAGAGAGTTTCACAATTTGGATGAGATCTCTTGTGTTTCATAGCAAAGGCTGCACAGTTTATGATTCCAAAGGAAACTTAATCTATCGAGTGGATAATTATAACTCCAAGAGTTGCAGTGAAGTTTACCTTATGGATTTATTCGGCAAAATCTTGTTTACGTTACGTCAAAAGGTAAATAATAAAACATTTCATTTTATCCATGTTCTTATAATTTTTGATAGTTTTGTTCTAATGTCTTTCTTTTCTTGGTTATAGAAATTGAGATTATTCAAATCTTGGGAAGGATATAACTCAACCGGGACAAGATTTCGACTAAGAAAGAACTTCAAGATATCGCCAAGAGGTTCATCTTCGTCATACAAAGTTGTAATGGTACCGCGCAGAGCTAATGATGATCAACAACAATCTTGTTATAAGATTGTAAGCCGCAAATCGATTTTCACAATCGAGGATGGATCGGGTAGATTAATGGCAGAAGTTAAAAAGAAACAATCGAGTATCAAAAGTTTGGATCTCGGAAAAGATGTGTTAACAATGATGGTGGAGCCACAAGTTGATCATTCTTTAATAATGGGTATTGTTATAGCTTATAGTCTTCTCAAATGTAAATTGTGATAATTATTAGGGTGAGACTGAACAAATATGTAAAATTTAGGGTCGTAAATGTAAATATACAATTTTTGGAGAGCCATATGATAATATTATTGTTAAATAAGTTCTTAAAGCTAATTAGCTGCTATTACAGGCATAAACCCCAAAGTCTCTAGCTTTGAAATTGAGATTTTGAGATTTTCGAAGAATTCACCAAAATGTGGAGAGAATCGGCTTCGTTTATCCTCGATAAGCATCAGAACAACAAACCCATTTCTCTAACTCATTCAACTGATTCTCCTCCACCACCATCTGCTTCAATGGCGGATGAAAACCCTAACCCTAATCCTATTTCGGCTTATTACCAAACTAGAGCGGCGCATCATGGGATCGTGACCAGCGAGTGGCTTGAACAGGCTCAAGCCGCGGTTCGACGTTATCCTGACCATGATTCCTCTGTTTCGGGAAGACCCTTTAGCGTGATTGAGGAGTTTAATAGTTGGAGACAGCAACCTGATTTGGCGGAGGCTGTTGCCGCGATTCGTGCTCTTGCGGCTGTAATTAGGGCTAGTGAAGCGACTACTATGATGGAACTTGAAATTGAACTTAAGAAAGCTTCTGATACTCTGAAAGTAAGTGTCTTTTTTCTTTGTGTTGGAATTTGGGTTCTGAATTTTTAATTACTCGGTGTTGTGATTGCTTGTTGGTCTTGGATTCAATCTTTAACGAACATGCTATTAGTTTGCAACTTAGCATTGATTATTTTGACGATAATTTAGGTTTAGCTTGTAGGGTAAATGGTAGATTTGATCGTGGCATTGGATTGACTTTGTTGCCTTGTGAACTCTACTTGGCATTCTATGAGTTTCGTGATCGTTAAGACACTCTCATGGCTCTAAAGATAGGTGGAAAGTTTTATCTTTTTGGATATCTTAATGGTGTGCTTCTGGTTGTACTTTGCATCTTCTGTGATGCTAAACTTTTCTTAAATGTTTTGTTTGTTTGGAAATGAGCGATTGTTGGTTTTGTTAGTTTTGAGTGTCAGATGGTATATTCGAGTCCTGCTGAACTCGTAGCTTTCAGTTTTTAACGAACATGCTATTAGTTTGCAACTTAGCATTGATTATTTTGACGATAATTCAGGTTTAGCTTTAGGCGTAAATGGTAGATGTGATTATGGCATTGCATTGACTTGTAGAGCTCTGAATTATACTTTGCATTTCTGCAATCTGCGAGTTTCTTGATCGCTAAGAATTGCTGGTGACTCTAAAGGGAAAGATAGGTTGAAAGTTTTATCTTTTTGGATGGTGTGTTTATGGTCGTAGTTTACATCTTCTGCAATGCTATATTTCTTTGAAATATTCTGTCTAAAGATAGGTTGAAAGTTTTATCTTTTTGGATGGTGTGTTTATGGTCGTAGTTTACATCTTCTGCAATGCTATATTTCTTTGAAATATTCTGTCTCGATGGAGATGGGCAATTGATGGATTTCGTTAGTCCTGAGTGTCATATGGTATTATATGAGTAGCTTTCAGATATTTTCGAGGCAGAACTCTAAAAATGTAAAATTGTCTTCTTGTTTCAGTCATGGGACACAACCTCTATATCCTTAACAGCTGGATGTGATCTATTCATGCGCTACGTGACTCGAACATCTGCTTTGGAATTTGAGGACTTCAACTCTGCAAAATCCCGTGTGCTTGAACGTGCTGAGAAATTTGGGGAAATATCTTGCAAGGTCAGTGTTTTCCTAGAACAGAAATTGCTTACATAAAATAGTTAGTAGAACCAGAGTTTGAACAGTAATTGGAATTTTGCAGGCCCGAACGATAATTGCAATGCTTAGTCAAGATTTCATATTTGATGGGTGTACTATTCTGGTCCATGGTTTCTCCAGAGTTGTGTTTGAAATACTAGAGACATCAGCGCAAAACAAGAAACTCTTTCGAGTTTTGTGCACAGGTACTTTTCTTAAGACTTTGAGATCACTCGGATCTGGCATTTTCTAGTTATCTCATTCTGATTTTCCTAACTGACAATCACATTTCTGTTGCACCCGTGGAAACAAAATCCAGAGGGAAGGCCAGATAAAACAGGTGTACTGCTAGCCAACGAGCTCGCAAAACTGGATATTCCTGTGAAGCTTCTGATCGATTCAGCCGTAGCCTATAGCATGGATGAAGTAGACATGGTATTTGTTGGAGCTGACGGAGTAGTTGAAAGTGGCGGGATAATTAACATGATGGGAACTTACCAAATCGCCCTCGTCGCACATAGTATGAATAAACCAGTCTATGTAGCTGCAGAGAGTTACAAGGTAACCTCTCATAACTTTAAAGTTTTCAAGGTGGTTGCAGAAATCATCAATGATTCATCCTCTTTCTTGTTTTCCTGCAAGCGAAGTTTGCACGGCTCTACCCATTGGATCAAAAGGACTTAGAACCGGCCTTGCGACCTATTGATTTCAATGTTCCTGTTCCTCCTAAGGTTGAGGTAGAAAGATCTGCAAGGGACTACACTCCTCCTCAGTACTTGACTCTGCTCTTCACTGATCTTGGTGCTCTCACTCCATCTGTAGTAAGTGATGAGCTTATTCAGCTTTACTTGTAAGTAAAGCTGTCTTCTTCTTCTTCCTAAAGCTCGTCTGAAAACCTCAATTTTTTGTATAAAAATAAAAACACCAATTTTTGGCTATACACAGACATAGTTTGTCTCTGATTCTTACTGCTTGTGCACATTTTTTTGGGTAGTAGCGAGATCTATGTGACTTGTAATCTTTACTTCAAATTTATCTCCCAAGTTTCAATATATAGTATGATTATTTCTGGTTTTTAATTTCTTGATTAGATATCGTACTTGATTAGAAATTTATCATACATAAAAAGTGTATTGTGTACATTGTTACAACCAGCTTTAAAAACATTAAATAAGGACTGTATATTATAGAACTTTGCAAAGACATATACAGTAAAATAAAATTTCTATAAATTAATAATGTTGGGACCGGGAAATTTTATTAATTTAGAGAGGTATTAATTTATCGATAAATTAATAATTATTCATTTATAGAGAGATCTTACTAATTTTGTAATTTCGTAAAAAAATGTCTATCTAAAAATAAAATTTTTCTTTATTAACAATATCTTTTAAAAACTAATTACAAGTAGAGAAACAATTATTAAGTTTAAAAAACAACCCAAACTTTTTTCAAATAATAGAGTCATAGTTCATCAAATTTTTTACATATAATATTTTGAATATATATCATAGTAATTCATATATAACATATATAAATTTATATAATGTATATATATATATATATATTGATAAGTAATACAATTATTAATTTATGATATAGATGAGACCATATGTTTACATGAGATTTTGAAAAAAATATTATTTTATTAATTTAGCGAGGTTATTAATTTATAGAGGTTTTACTTTACTGGGAAAAAATAATTATGTGAAGGATTCTCGTAATGATAAGATTGATATATTTTCCCCCTTGAGAATGAATTAAGTTTTTATTGTATTGCTATATTTTTTTTATAATTGTTAGTTGTGGTTTTTTGCAAAAGTATATATATTCTTTTAATAATATGAAAATGTTTGTATAAAAAATAAATGGTATGTTATGGGATGGATATTGAGAAGTTGCAATTATTGTAGTGAAGTGATAGATGACCTATATTTTTGTAACATAATATAATATGATTTGATGTTTGAAAATGAAAGCATGAGAAACGTGATAGAATTAAAGAGCGTGTAAATTCTTACTAGTACTATTTTAAATTTTTAATGCTTGGTCAGCTCAGTTAGTTGGTCGTCGTAACTGGTAACTAAAGCTAACGTTAGCATCAAACGGCTAACGTTGTAGTAAGATTCATAAAACACCGGCCACATTTTCGGCCATTTATAATCGAAACATCGAATATAACACAACAAATGAAATTAACAAAATATTGTAAAGATATTGAAGATGGCAAAATTATTTCTTCACACCACGTTTTTAAAAAGTGATTATATATAAATAGAACAAATAAAAATCATTAATTTACCACAAACTATTTTTTTAGCATTTCATATTTATTGATTTAACATATGAGTCATTTTGTTTGTCAACAACTATATAAAACAAATTGAATTCGAGTTTTTTTTTTTTTTTTTTTTTGTCAACTACTCCATTGGATATGAGTTTAGATTATTTTCTGTTGTATCATCCTAGACTAGACCATCCCCGGCAAGCGACAATATTGATCCTTTTTACGTTTTGAAAGAAAAATGAAAATGTTATAAATCATATGGATGGACTCCATAACCGGCCCATGGCCCATTAGGGTTTTACCTTATTCTCTGTATCCTGCTATTATCCTCGTATATATATCCCTTATACTATTAATGAAAGATACAGTTCACAACACGTTATCAGCACGATAGCCTCTTACCCTAAAAATTAAAAAATCCCGAAACCCTAAATCTCTCTCACAAAAACCAAAACCAAAACCCTAGCTGTCTCTGCAAACAAAATTTTAAACTCTATCGAGATAAGTTTTCTGTTCATATTTGTTTCTGCACGAATTTTGCACGGATTATCTGTTATTAATCATGTCTGTATTTCTGCACGAACTTTGCACAGATGATCTGTTATCTATTCTGTCTGTAGTTTTGCACGAATTTTGCACGGATTATATGTTATCAATTTTGTCTGTATTTCTGCACGAATTTTGCACAGATTATCTATTGTCAATTCTGTCTGTAGTTTTGCACGAATTTTGCACGGATTATATGTTATCAATTTTATCTGTATTTCTGCACGAATTTTGCACAGATTATCTGTTGTCAATTCTGTCTGTAGATTTGCACAAATTTTGCACGGATTATTTATTATCAATCCTGTCTATATTTTTGTACGATTTATGCACGGATTATATGTTATTGATTCTGAACTGTTTTATGCAGTATATTACAGAAACCCTATTTTTTTTCTTTTTACTAATGTAATAGCCATGTTTCTATGAGCAAAATTTTGAGTTTCTCAGGAATCAGGATTATATATATTGAGATTTTGTAGGAGGTCCCAACCAGCTAAGAGACGTAACTGTTTCCAATCTCCGTATCAGATCTCGGGTCTCTGTTTC